GTGCGTGCCAAGTCCATGCTCTGTGCCAAGTGCATTGTTCCACGCGTGCATTGTGCCTAGTGCATTGCGCAAAAGGGCATTATGCCGAAAGGCATTCTGCCAAGTGCATTGTGCTGCGTGTGCCAACTGCAGTATAGTGCCAAGTGCATTGCACAAGTGCTCTGTGCCAAGTGCATTGTGCCAAAGGGCATCGTGCCAAGCGCCTTGTGCCAAGTGCATTGCGCCAGCTGTGTTGTGCCGAGTGGATTGTGTCAAGGCCATTGCGCGCAAATGCCCCAAGCACTCGCAGTGTTTTATCTTAGTGTCTTATCTTAGTGTCCTCTAAACATGTTCGATGTGTGAAATCTGAAACATTCGCAGTGTTCTGTCTTAGTGTCCTCTAAACATGTTCGAGATATGAAAATTGAATGGCTGGCTTGGCTTTGGCTGCCTCCGGTTTGGTTCCGTGATGAGTAGTGTTTGGGTGGCCTCGGGGTGGGCATGTCTTCATACTATTGCGTTCAGCTGACCAATGCTACACCCTAAACCCTAAACCCTAGACCCTAGACCCTAAACCCCAAACCCCAAACCCCAAACCTGAAAAAAAAAAACCCAAACCCCAAACCCTAAACCCTAAACCCTACACCCTAAACCCTAAACCCCAAACCCTAAACCCTAAACCCTAAACCCTAAACCCTAAACCCTGAACCCTAAACCCCAAACCCTAACCCTAAACCCTAAACCCTAAACCCTAAACCCTAAACCCTAAACCCTAAACCCTAAACCCTAAACCCTAAACCCTAAACCCGAACTTCAAGAAGCGCCTGCATGCGTCCATACCCGGTCTTGAGCTTCCGCCACCTTTTCAGCCAGCACTCTAAAACCTCTGCACCCGAAAACGCACACTAGGGTTAAGACACCAGCCAGTTTCTCGAATTAGTGCCCCGTACCCCCTAGGTGACGATGCAGAACAGGCTGGAAGACGAACTTTAGGGTTTAGGGTTTAGGGAGTTTAGGGTTGTTGGAGATGAATCCCTTCCCCGCAATAAACAGCCCCCCGGCCCAACCCCCTAACCCTAAACCCTAAACCCTAAAATGTTATGCCCATATTAGAGTGTATGAGGAAGGGCTTAGTACTAGGGGGACTTCATATGGTTGAGGGTTTAGGGTTTAGGGTTTAGGGTTTTTGTCAGGGCTGAGGCACTTTCTTTGGTTTCGGCCCTTGCGCGTTGCGCGACACTGTAGGAGGGTCTGAGTACTCACTCGGAAGAGGGTGCGGAGGGTTTTGGTGTCCTCCCAAGCTTCTTTATTAGAGGTTTAGGGTTTCGGGTTTTTAGGATTCAGCCTTCAGGGTACGTGCAGTATAGATGTGACTTTGCAGGTGTGCAGAATGTCAGTCGGTTTAGGGTTTAGGGTTCAGGGTTCAGGGTTCAGGGTTTAGGGTTTAGGGTTTAGGGTTTAGGGTTTAGGGTTTAGGGTTTCGGGTTTACTTCAGGGGTTTGGGTTCAAAAATGGTCCCCTCTGAGGACCCATGTACAGTGACAGTGCTGGAGAGGTGATGTTGCCTAGGGCAACCACCGCTTGCGAGCGCTTCCCCCAACATGAAGCTCTCCCGACTTGGTAGCCCAGTGGTTTAGGGTTTAGGGTTTAGGTTTTAGGGTTTGGGTACCCACCGCCCTATGTTTTGTGGCTTCTCCCCCCCCCCCCCCCCCCCCCCCCCACCCCCCCCACCCCAAACGCCGCAGCTTTGTTGCATTGAAAGGTGCAAGCCCCCCCACCCCCAGCAGCCTTCTCAAACTCTCCCCAGCTCCCCCCAACCGTTTGGGTTTATGATCTCCTCTGTCCATTCGTACGGTTTTCCTGTCACATCAAGACCCCTAAACCCTAAAGCCTAAACCCTAAACCCTAAACCCTAAACCCTAAACCCTAAACCCTAAACCCTAAACCCTAAACCCTAAACCCTAAACCCTAAACCCTAAACCCTAAACCCTAATCAACCCTTGTTCTCGAAGAGCTGGGCAGACACAGAACCCGAAAGCCTAAAACGTAAACCCTTCCGAAGCTCCTAGACCATAAACCCCAAACCCCACACCCGAAACCACAAACCCTAGGGCCCCAAACCCCAAACCCCAAACCCCAAACCCTAAACCCTAAACCCTAAACCCTAAACCCTAAACCCTAAACCCTAAACCCTAAACCCTAAACCCTAAACCCTAAACCCTAAACCCTAAACCCTAAACCCTAAACCCTAAACCCAACGCTCTGAAGCAGCACTGTTGCAGCCACTCTTCTGAGACTCTGCCACGCGGCCCGTCCTTCCCTCCGCCGACTCTAGGGTTGACTTAAGGTTTAGGTGTTGGGGTTCCCGAAAACCCTAGCCCTCAACCCTAAACCCTAAACCCCAATCCCCAATCCCTAAACCCTAAAGCTTAAACCCTAAACCCTAAACCTTAAACCCTAAACCCCAAACCCTAAACCCTAAGCCCTAAGCCCTAAACCCTAAACCCCAATCCCTAAGCCCTAAACCCTAAAACCCTACGCTCTTCAGCTCGTTCGCGCCCACGTTAGCTTCTCGTCGCTGGTAAAACCTGAAACAAAAACTCACCTGCTTCCAGGTTCAGGTAGCTTACCCAGGCTCCCAGGAGAATCCGAAAAGTGTTTAGGGTTTAGGGTTTATGCAAAAAGGGTTTGGGGTTCAGGGTTAGGGTTTCAGTCCCAAAGTAGCACCGTATAGTACTAATGGGTCATGTTTCGGAACCCTTCACTGGATCTACATTTTGCATTCCTAAGCCCTTTCAGGGGGTCTGGGTTTTTCAAAGGGTCTACGTTTTGGATCCCCCTAGGTGTCTTGGTTTTTCATCAAGGACTCATCCACGGAAGGACTCCAGAACTGAGATTTCTTTGTTGAAATCCTCAACCCTAAGCCCTAAACCCTAAACCCTAAACCCCAAACCCTAAACCCTAAACCCTAAACCCTAAAGAGTTTCTGGGAGTAAGAGCTACACCCTATTGGTGCGACTGGTGTATGAACTCTGGGGAGGACTCGAGTGGTCGTGGCAATCTGCGCCCGAGATCAGCTCAACACGCCGACTCGGTCGAGGGTCCACAGAAAGGCACCCTTCTACCCTCAACCGTCAACCCTACGCCCTAAACCCTAAACCCCAAACCTCAAACTCCAAGCCCTAAGCCCCAAACCCCAAAACCCCAAAACCCCCAAACCCCCAAACCCCAAACCCCAAACCCTAAACGCTCACCCTTCAGGTACCCACCACCCCCCCCCCCCCCCAATTCATTCGATCTCTCCGACTTCCCAAAGCAAGATTTGAGGCTAAGCGCCTTTAGCAGCTAGGCCTTATATGGGTTGGTGGTCTCTTTAAGTAGGGTTTCTGTTTTGTAAGGGGGTTCTTATTAGGGTATCTAGGGGCTATGTTAAGGTAGAAGGGCAACAGATAAAGAGGCCACCGGCCTTTATCAGCTGGGCCTCTTCAAAATGCCTTCCGTCTCGGACCCTTGTCCAGGCCATCGTTTTGGACGGAATTATTCCCCTTTTTTTGGGGGTTTAGGTACCCGCTGAGTCTACCTTTTTTTGGGGGTTTAGGGTTTAGGATTTAGGGGTTAATTATAGGGTAACTAGGACCCAAGCAAGCCCTTATGCCCGTTTTGGGTGGTTTAATTTAGGCCCCTTTAAACCAAAAGGGCACCCTTTTTACTTCTAGGTTACTCTTGGGTCTAGGTTTTTCAACTTGAGGCAACTCTTGATGGTAGCCCAGTGGTAGCCTTTTGTCACTTTTTGGGTTCTAGGTGTAACCAACAGCAAAAAGGGTACCTCTACTGTATGGTTACTGGGCTACCATCTGTCTCACTGCGGTAGCACAACTTGAGATGCGCAGGCCGTCCTGCAAGAAAGAGCTCAGTAGTTACGATATCATGATAACCCCCTGGGAGGATCCCAAAATATCCCAAAAGTAGATCCCGTTAAAGCTTCCTAAGAATGACCCAAGAGTAGAATGGGACCCTATTTTCGGGGCACTACTTCTTGGATCCTCCTAGGGGTCTGGGAATGGTATGCGTGGCTTCCTTAGTAGAGTGGCTTGTTTCAAGGGTTTAGGGTTTAGGGTTTAGGGTTTAGGGTTTAGGGTTTAGGGTTTAGGGTTTAGGGTTTAGGGTTTAGGGTTTAGGGTTTAGGGTTTAGGGTTTAGGGTTTAGGGTTTAGGTCCTCAACTCAGCCAGGCACCTAAACTTTCTGAACCCAGGTGAGGTTCGGATTCAGAGGAAAGAACGAACCCGAGAACTGTCTGAGCCCCTGGTTTAGGGGTTGGGGGTCCAGGGTTTAGGGTTTAGGGTTTATAGCGGGATTCTGAACATGCCTGCTTTCATAGCACAGAACTCGCCAAGATCACGAAATCCAGGAACGCGCCTCACACTAGAATGTTTCAGACTTCTGGGAGGATCTCGACAACGAGATCCTTCCATAGTAGTAGAGGGGCATTCTTTTGGGGTGCTACTTTTGGGCTCCTCCCGAAGGTCTAGGTAAGGATCCTACCATGATCCCAGGGATATTCCTTGATAAAAATTCCCCTGGGACTACTTGGTTGCCCCTTGGTTGTCCCGACCCGAGAAGGAAGAGCCAAAAAGAAGTGATCGGTATTTCTTGTGTGTTCTGTTTGCTAATCCATCATTTTGGAATTGGGCCGAAGGGCGAGAGGGGCCCGTGGTTGGGGTAGGCCGCAATCCTTGTGAACCAGACCCCTGGAAAAATCCAAAAAGTGGAGCCCAAAATAGTACGTATGCTACTCTTCGGTCATTCTTCGGAACCCTTAAGATCTACTTTTTGGATTCTCTTAGGGGTTTGGGTTACTTTGTTGTTGAGGGATGTTTACATGCTTCTGATGCTGCTGAGGTTTGTTGCCTTAGATGGAGTTTAGGGTTTAGGGTTTAGGGTCAGCAAGTCCAGCTTCAAAAAGGGTTTAGAGTTGGCTTGCTTTGTGCGAGACACAATCCCCCCACCCACCCCTGAGAGGATGGGAGAGTTTCCCAGGCCTGGTCATCACTTTTATTCTAGGGTTTCGGGTTTAGGGTTTAGGGTTTAGGGTTAGAAAAGCTTAAAATCTAGACCCTAAACCGCCTGATATCTACCCATGAACTGGGGCCCGCAGCCCGACGCACCCGCGCGCAGGGAGGGAGCTCCTGGTTTTTGAGGGCGGCGAGGGCACCTCCATCCGAGAAGTGAAGGCTGGTGGTTTAGGGTTTAGGGTTTGGGGTTTAGGGTTTAGGGTTTGGGGTTTGGGGTTTGGGGTTTGGGGTTTGGGGTTTGGGGTTTGGGGTTCAGGCAGGCTTCGGGGTTTAGGTTTTCGAAAACGTGGCTTCTTTTTCAAGCTGCAGATTAGAACTTTCTGCTACGGCGGTGTCTTTTTGGGAGAAGGATGCAATTTCGGCTTTTTGGGGGTGCGTTCCTCGGCGTTAGGGGCCAACCCTCACCCTTCCATGTGTGCCTTGGATGTTGAACACGCAGCCCGCTGTGTGGCCAAGAGGACGCTGCGTTTACCGGAAGGGCCTTAAACCCTAAACCCTAAACCCTAAACCCTAAACCCTAAACCCTAAACCCTAAACCCTAAACCCTAAGCCTCAGTATCGGGATGTCCCCCCGTATACCAGCAGTCCTTGATAGGGATTATAGCACCCCCTAATACCATCCCCAGTAGGGACCGTGAGTATAAGGGGGAGCCCTAAGCCCTAAGCCCTAAGCCCTAAGCCCTAAGCCCTAAACCCTAAACCCTAAACCCTAAACCCTAAACCCTAAACCCTAAACCCTAAACCCTAAACCCTAAACCCTAAACCCTAAACCTAAACCATAAACCCTAAACCCTAAACCCTAAACCCTAAACCCTAAACCCTAAACCCTAAACCCTAAACCCTAAACCCTAAACCCTAACCCTAAACCCTAAACCCATGCCAGAGTGGGGTACCCAAAAAGGGTCCCGAACATGCGGAATCCGCCACATGGACCAACGCCACGTGACACGCGTCGGGGTCGATGTGGGCGGGGAAGAGACCCGGCAAGATCTGGGACATTTCGGATTTTCTTCGATTTGCAGAGTCTTAAACCCTAGGGATAACCCTAAACCCTAAACCCCAAGCCCTAAGCCCCAAGCCCTAAAACCTAAACCCTAAACCCTAAACCCTAAACCCTAAACCCTAAACCCTAAACCCTAAACCCTAAACCCTAAACCCTAAACCCTACAGGAGTTCATCGTGGTGTCTCCGGACTTATTCGGCGTGGCTGGCTGGAACCAACTTTCCGAGATGATGCAGAGCTGTTGCGAGACACCAGCTCCTGGGGGCTTCGTGGTAGCCTTAGGGTTTACGGTTTAGGGTTTAGGGTTTAGGGTTTAGGGTTTAGGGTTTAGGGTGTAGTAGCTGATTGGCCGACCTTTAACCTTTTTGGCCCAGGGTACTCAGGGGGGGATTCTGGCTGGTATTTGGCTAAGGACCCCACAAAAGTAACAGACAATGGTAAGATGTGTTTTTACTTTTTTGGAGGTTCTTAAGCAATTAGTACCTTGGCAGCCCAGTGGTACCCCCTTTTTCCCGCTTTTTTGGTTCAAGCTTCCCTCATAACAGTAACCAGCCCCCAAACAAGGGGCACCCTTCTTATAATATGTATCGTAACCCTAAACCCTAAACCCTAAACCCTAAACCCTAAACCCTAAACCCTAAACCCTAAACCCTCAACCCTAAACCCTAAACCCTTACTATAATATGTACCCTTAAAGGGGCCACCAAGGCTTCGTCAAGTTCTTCGTCGACTACTCTCCACAGGTGTTCCAGCCGCTGGTTGACTCTTGGTAGCCCAGTGGTGCCCTAAACCCTAAACCCTAAACCCTAAACCCTAAACCCTAAACCCCAAACCCTAAACCCTAAACCCTAAACCCTAAACCCTAAACCCTTTTTTGGGTTTTGCTTGCCCTTATAAAATAACCAAAACCCAAAAAAGGGGTGCCGTTATTAAGAGATTAGTTCCTGGTCTACCAAGGACTGGTTGCGCCACTTTCGCGACAGCGACCGTGATCAGGTGGTTGAGGTCGTCGTTGATGCTTGGCTGTCTTCTGGCTCCTAGGACTTGAAAACCTCTTGAATTTAGGGTTTAGGGTTTAGGGTTTAGGGTTTAGGGTTTAGGGTTTAGGGTTTAGGGCTCTTGGGACTTGAACCTTTTGGTTTTTGCAGAACCTACAATGAACAGAGCCTAAGAGTTATAAACTTTTGAGGAGGGGTATTCAGAAGGGGAGCCTAAACCCGAAACCCTAAACCCTAAACCCTAAACCGAAGGGAGCCAAGGATGCACAGTACCGGGCTCCATTGGTCCGAATGATGCTGTCCCTGTCCTTCGACCTGCACCAGCTACGCCTGGCCGGCATCAAACCTGGTGGGGGACCTTCCGAAAATGGGGGTAAGGTTTAGGGTTTAGGGTTTAGGGTTTAGGGTTTAGGGTTTAGGGTTTAGGGTTTAGGGTTTAGGGTTTAGGGTTCAGGGTTCAGGGTTCAGGGTTCAGGGTTCAGGCTTCAGGCTTCAGGGTTTCCTCCAAGGGGAGTCTTTGGGATGTTCTCCCTTATACTAACAGTCCTTAATGGGGATCACAATAGGGGAGATGATAATCCCTATCAAGGGTTGTTAGTATAAGGGGGGACATCCCAAGGGATTCGGTTCTATTTTGGGGTATAAAAGGGGTACCCCCCCTATTTGGGGAAACCACCAGGTGAGCTGGCTGAACCTTAAACCCTAAATCCTAAACGCTAAACCCTAAACCCTAAACGCTCAACCCCCCTATTTATGGAAACCGCCAGGTGAGCTGGCTGACATGGGCTACAGTTACGAGTCCTTGGTCGGTGCCGGATTTCAAGCTGCAGAGTTGCTTCCTCGAGCTTACATTGAGGCCCTAGGGTTTAGGGTTTAGGGTTTAGGGTTTAGGGTTTAGGGTTTAGGGTTGTTGAGGCCCGGCACCATGTGGTCGGCAATGTCCCTTGGGCGCCGGCAACTCAGGGATTCTTGGGAATAGCCTTTTTTTGTCCTTTTCGGGGGGCATCTGTCATTCCTAAGAAACAGCTAACTTTTGTGTTTTTTTAAACCCTAAACCCTAAACCCTAAACCCTAAACCCTAAACCCTAAACCCTAAACCCTAAACCCTAAACCCTAAACCCTAAACCCTAAACCCTACAGTCTAGGCAAAGCCTCCCAGCGCCGGTCTCAAGGTGGAACAGGTGCTGCGCTGCATCTCAGGTGCGCCCGACAGCGCGGCAAAGCTGCTGCGCATCTGGGGGACATTTTTTTTTGTTTTCCCTTATTGGGTTTGAGAGGGTCATATCCTAACCCTAAACCCTAAACCCTAAACCCTAAACCCTAACCCTAAACCCTAAACCCTAAACCCTAAACCCTAGACCCTAAACCCTAAACCCTAGTGTTCAGGGGTTTTGAGGGAGCCATCCTAGGTATCGACATCGGCGGACAACAGAAGATCACGGTTTCTCGCGACTTGTTCAGCGTGGCGGGCGAGAACAGACTGGCGAGAATGGCTTCAGAGGACCACGCTGCCAGGGAGCCACACAGCGATGCGGACGTGAACTGCTTCGTGGACTACTCTCCGCGGGTTTTTCTGCAGCTGGGATTCCCAGCTCAGCATTACCTTTATACCTTTTTTTTGAGGCTTGGGTTCCTTACACAAATCAGAAGCCCCTGCATCCCAAAACAAGTGCGCCCTGTCACCATGATTGCATCAATTACATGAGTATTTGGCTAGGCTGTTCAGCAGTATACTTGTTTTGCTTTTTTGGGGGTTCTGGGTTCCCTAAATTAGGTAAGTAGCCCAGAAAAGTTCGGGTCACTGAAGACCATAGTTGCTGTTTTTTCTGCATTCTTACTTTGGAACTGTAGTTTCATGGGCCCTTGATATGGTCCCTTACCGTTCTGATGTATGGGCCCTTAATTTGTAATTACAGGGTATACAAGGGGTATGTAAGCGGTACCCTTTGCAGGGCCCATACTAAGGGACCATGCAACTACCCGCAGATACTAAACCCTAAACCCTAAACCCGTTACTGGGTTAGTACAACAGGCCCTTGGTGGACTGGCTACGCCGTTTTCGGGACAGTCAGCGAGATCGGGTGCTGCGCGTTTTGGTGGATCAGCCGTACCGACTCGCATTCATCCGAATCTGGGCTCTTGCTAGAGAGCTAGACTTTGATTGATAATAAGGTAGGACACTGTAGCAAGCACACGATATATATATATATATATATATGTGATATGATATATCGCCCTCTTAAGGAAGCTGAATTTTGGTTGCTTTAGCACGGGCGCGCGGTAGGTTAACCCAGACCCTTTGGGAGGATCCACAAAGTACAGCCCCCCAAATTGGCTACAACTGGGCCATTTTTCCCTTCAAGGAATCTTTTTGGGGGGGATTTTCCCAGGGGGTCTGCGAACTTTGTCCTAGTTGGTTTACATTTTGAAGGGTACTTGAACCCAATAAGGAATACAAATTTAGATGTTTAATACTATCCCAACTGCACTAGGGAACAAGCCACAGCCAGGAATGATGATGGCGCTTTCTTTCGAGCTGTGGTACCTGCGCCTTGCAGACATCAAGGCCTGTGAGCTCCTCGAAAGAGGGATCAGCACAGAGGCCCTCCTGGACGCGGGATTTCAGGAGTCGGGTGTTAAGGGCTAGGGTCGAGGCGATAAGGGGCTTAGAGGTTTTTGAGGGTTTGCGGGCACCCTTAAATTGCCCTAAAACCCTAAATTCCCCAAAACCCTAAAACCCCAAAACCGTAAAACCCTAAAACCCCAAAACTCTGCAACCCTAACACCCTAAAACCCTAAACCCCTCAAAACAGATGTGGTTTAGAGAAGCGCCTACAGGAGATGGAGATGCCAGATGTCGTGGAGGTCATGCAGATCAACAGCACCCTGCAGGCCAATGCCGAAGCGTTGCAAGGTCAGGGGGATGCTTCGTGGGACTTTAGGAAGTGTTTGCATACATACCTAGGGTTTAGGGTTTAGGGTTTAGGGTTTAGGGTTTAGGGTTTAGGGGTTAGGGTTTAGGGTTTAGGGTTTAGGGTTTAGGGTTTAGGGTTTAGGGTTTAGGGTTATACAGATAGATTGGGTTTAAGGGCACGTTCCTTGGGAATGTCTTTCCGGGAGGGGAGTTTAAGGACGTCCAACCCAGGTTTTCCACTCCATTTCCTGCACGCCCCAAGACGTGATCAGAATAAACATGGGTGGGCAACAGCTTCTTAGTAGCTGAGTGAGTACACTTTACACTTTTTGGGATAACAAAATCCCCTATAGAACCAGTGTGCACTTTTTGGGGGGGCTTATGAACTCAGCAACTAAGGCTTGTTGCGGTGTCTACGGAGCTGCTGAGCTTGGCTGGAGAGAACAAGCTGTCCGTGATGGTGCGGCGGTTGATTTGAGCACGCCATTTTGTCTTCTTGAGGGGTGGATGGCCCTAAACCCTCAAGCCTAAACTTTGGGCCTAAACCCTAAGCCCTAAACTTTGGGCCTAAACCCTAAGCCCTAAACCCGAAACCCTACACCCTTGACCCCAAACCTTCGCTATCCAAGATGCCTATATTTAGGGATCGGGCCGGGTGTTCAGTTCATGTTCCCTTATTAGGTGGGGAGGAGGGGTCCTTTCAAGGAAAGGGTCTTCGGCTGAACCGTAAACCCCAAACCCTCAACCCTAAAACCCTAAAACCCTAAACCCCTAAATTTAAGAGCCTCCGGCTCAAGCCGCCGACCCCGCAGGAGAACAAGTTTAAGGTTTGGGGTTTGGTGATTTTGTTTGCGGTTTCTGTTGTGGGGGGGGCGGGTAGGGGGGTGGGGGGGGGGTGGGGGGGGCGGGGTAGCGGCTGGGGGGGTTGGGCCCAAAGAGGGGTTTTTTTCCAAAAGAGCCCCTATGCCCTGTGCGAAAACGCCTATGGTCCATGAGTGTGGGTGGCCTGTTCCTCCACGGAAAAGCTGGCGGGGTACCCCCCCCCTACCCCCCCCCCCCCCCCCCGTTTTGGGGGGGTAAGGAGGGAAAGAGGGAGGTTTTCACCTCCTTTTCCCATCCAACACGCCGCCAGGGTCGGCGGACCCCTAAACCCCTAAACCCCTAAACCCCTAAACCCCTAAACCCCTAAACCCCTAAACCCCTAAACCCTAAAACCCTACACCCTGCAAAATTTAAGAGCCTCCGGCCTCAGGCAAGGCCCACCCAAGAGGCCGCCAACCAGAAAATGCCAAACATTCACTTAGGGCTTCGGGTTTAGGGTTTAGGGTTTAGGATTTAGGGTTTAGGGTTTAGGGTTTAGGGCTTAGGGCTTAGGGCTTAGGGATGCCCTGGTTAGGCCCCGAACAAAGCTTTGCGCGCCGGGAGTTTTTTGACAGGGCTTCATCCGAAACCCTAAATCCCCGAAAGCCTAAACCCCTTAAAGCCTTAAACCCTTAAACCCTAAACCCTAAACCCAACAGCTTGAGAAGAAAACCGAGGTCTCTGGACGCTGGGAGGCAGCGGCGGACCCCGAAGGGAGCTACTTCGTGGACTATTCTCCGGAGGCTATGTCGCTGGGAGATGAACCCTAAACCCTAAACCCTAAACCCTAAACCCTACCGCTCTACAACCAAGGGTTTTATGACAGGTGCCTGCATGGGCATGGGGGGGGGGGGGGGGGCTTTCGTCACAGGTGTTTATTCCGCTGGTGGACTGGCTTCGCCACTTCCGTGACAGCTCCTGTGATCAAGTGGTAGCAGCAGTGGTGGACAAGTCCCACAGACCCTAGGCTGTTCAGTAGTGTACTTTTTTTTCTTTTTTTTTTTGGGGGGGGGGTCCGGGTTTCCTATAGTAAAGAAGTGGCCCAAAAAAGTGTGTACTTTTTTTCTTTGGGCCACTGAAAACCATAGGACCTGCATGGATCCGCATGATGATTGCCCTGTCCTTCGAGCTGCGCTACCTACGCCTCGCTGGCATTGAGCCCATTGAGTTGCTCAATCTGCGATTTTCAGAGGACCGTTTCGACACGTTTCCAGACGGTGGGGGTGTGGTACGACTTCCGAAGAGGTATTTTAAAAAAGCAGGTGTACCAGAGAAATTCCTGATGGTTCCTGGGGAATATAGAGTTTCAACAGCACCTAGCCTGAGCATTTCGGCTCCTTTCGCAGACCTTGAGAAGGCTAAGCCCTAAACCCTGAACCTGAAACCCTAAGGGATCTGGTCCGATCTTGTGAACATAAGAAAAACTAAACGGACAGTGGACATCAAGTGAGTTTTAGGCTTATTCGCTCATGAACCTTATTATTCGCTCATGAACCTCAATGATTTAATGCATTCATTGTCTATTCATAGTCTCTTTTCGTTATCTTACTATTACCCTAAACCCTAAATCCTAAGCCCTAAACCCTGAACCCTAATGAGTGCGTAAGTCACACCTCTGCCGGCGCGCCTTGGCCTAGGATGTCCAGTAGCACGCGTTTTTTCTTTTTTTGTTGTTATTCCAGGTTCCTAGGCCAAACTCCTAAACCCTAAGCCCTAAACCCTAGCCCCAAACCCGAAACCCTAAACCCTAGACCCTAAACCCTTGCCAAAAGCCCTAAACCCTAAACCCTAAACCTTCAACCCGAAAGGGAACCTGAGAACATTGCAGGAGATGCTCCTTGATGCTGGATTCCAAAAGGGGCAAGGATGCTGGGAAGCGAGCGCCGGCAGCAAGTGAGGGTCTTTAGCAGGATTTCGGCTTCAACTTAGAGCTTGAAAGGGTTTAGGGTTTCGGGGTTTAGGGTTTAGGGTTTAGGGTTTAGGGTTTAGGGTTTAGGGTTTAGGGTTTAGGGTTTAGGGTTTAGGGTTTAGGGTTTAGGGTTTTGAGGGGGAAGCCTGATGCAAAAGGGTTCAGGTTTTTGGGGCTTGCGGCTTAGGGCTTAGGGTTAAGGGCTTCAAGGATGTGTAGAGATTTCCAGGGGCTTGGGCATTCTTTTCAACCATCTAAGCCCCATGTCTTCGTTGAAGACCCTTGAGAATGAAGCCAACATGCTAGACCCTAACACCCTAAGCCCCAATCATCGCTGCGCTGCTGTGTCAACAAGGAACGACGGCTGCTGCATCGCCTAGAAGCAACTTATCTGCCTGCGGCTGAGGGTTTAGGGTTTAGGGTTTAGTGTTTAGGAGTGTTCCAATAGCTTGGAGCAACCAGGCAGCAAGCATCCAGAAGCGAGTAAACTGCCGGTGAAAACCTTAAACCCTAAACCCTCAACCCTAAACCCTAAACCCCAGAGTGTGGCCCTTTGGTGCATGCAACCAAGGCTGGTGGCCTGCCCATGAGTCCAGCCAATGACAACTGCTTGCTGATCTGCGTGGCAAAACGTTTAGACCGGCCGTATAACCTCAAAACTCCTAAGCCCCAAGCCACAAGCCCCAAGCCCTAAACCCTAAACCTAACCCTAAATCCTAAGCGCTACCCCCCTAAACCCTAAACCCTAAACCCCTAACCCCAAGCCCAAAGCCCCAAGCCCTAAGCCCCAAGCCCCAAGCCCCCAAGCCCTTGAACTGACCGCCAGCTGCCAGAAGCTCTTGCGCACGAAGATCTGAAGACCCTACAGCAAACTCCAGAAAGTTGGAACATGGCTTAAGGATGAAGGTTTTAGGGTTTAGGGTTTAGGGTTTAGGGTTTAGGGTTTAGGGTTTAGGGTTTAGGGTTTAGGGTGTGGTTGAAGGATGCTTCGAGCTGGGACTCCCTTTAGTATACCATTTGGGGTATGGGGATAAGGATGCTCCAACTGTCCGGGGTTTGCGAGAATCGGGTGTAGGATGTCGGCTTTTGGAGAAGGCTTTTCTGAATCCGAAAGCTATCGCCTTAACCCTAAACCCGAACCTAAACCCTAAACCCTGAACCCTGAACCCTGAACCCTAAACCCTAAACCCTAAACCCTAAACCCTAAACCCTAAACCCTAAACCCTAAACCCTAAACCCTAAACCCTAAACTTAAACCCTAAACCCTAAACCCTGGGTGCTCCCTTACAATTTGGAGGCCAGGGTGGCAGCAAGCGGAGGCCCAGGGGTGTTTCTTCAGAATCTCATGCTGGAGGCGCGGGGTACCGTGGGGAATGAGGGGAGTAGGTACCTAATGTCACCCTATGCTTCTCTCTAAGGGGTATGTATATACATATATATATATATATATATGTATATGTATATATTTATGCATATACATATATTTATATGTGTGTATATATGTATATGCATATATAAATATAAAAAATAAACATATATATATATATGAAGTAGGGTTTATATGTCTGCTCTTGGTGAGTGTGTATAAGGTTGCTTTTTTTTTTTTTTTTTTAATATTGGCGAGCGTCTATACTGGGTGTCCTTTTGGGTGGGGGGTACAAGAAATATATACCCTACTTCAGATGAATATATTCATATACATGTAAAGTAATAACAATACATAGAAAAGTACACAGGTAATTGTATATGTACAAGGTACAGGTGGGTAGTTATTCAAAGGGTACATGCAGGTAGATCCCTAAACGCTTAACCCTCAACCCTGGCAGCGACCACCATGTATCTCGGTACTTTTAGGCCTAAACCTTAAACCCTACACCCTAAACCCTAAACCCTAAATCACCATCCATCATGAATGTTCAAGTCGTTGGCGGGCCTGTGTATGGCTTGGCAGGACATTGCACTCTTTCGCATCTCATCAGATACTGTTACTAACAGTTGTTAGTCCGCCTGTAAGCAACACTGCGCTTGCAAGTTCAACCACGCAGATCAGACAAGTCGAAGCCTGGGAAGTGCTTACGGTTTCGCACCCGAAGGCCTTAACCCGAAGCTCGAGACACCCGACCTCTGCGGGTTTAGGGTTTCGGGTTTCGGGTTTAGGGTTTAGGGTTGAAGGTGTAGGGCCGACCTCAGCGCAAGACGAAGACCTCAGACTCTATCTTGGAACCTGCACAGGACCGCACCTTACGCGATGATGAGACCTTCGGCAGTCTGTCTTTAGCCGGCCACTCGCATGGCTTGGGCTGCTTGTCCCCGTAAAACCAAGGGAGTTGGCTTACATCCTCCTATCTAGACCCTTCATTCTAGGAGGCCCGATTCCTAAAATTCCTAGTAACAGACCAGGACATGGTCGCCAGCACTACGTTCAGTACGTTGTGGCTTTAGGATTTCGGGATTCGGGTTAAGGTGAGCCAAGGTCTTCTTCAATCGCTGAAAGGTTCATGCAAGTTTAGAGTAGTTTTTAAGAGTATGTTCTCTTAGTGGCGCCGTCTGCTGCCATATTCTATGTCGACGAAGATGGAGGAAACCCCAAACCCTAAACTCGTGTAAAGTTTATTATGGTTTTCATAGCTTAGACTGCGCCCCTCCCAATTCCCCCCTTTGGTAGTACGTCTCACGATCGACGCCGGGGACATGCTTGCACACGTCACGCTTTAAGCTCTGCAGGTTTGCATATTTTGTAGGGAAGCTGAAGGTAAACCTTCTCTTTCTTCGGCTATTTGAGAAGCAAGCGGTTTAGGGAAACTCCTTAGCTACCCTGGTAACCCTAAACCCTAAACCCTAAACCCTAAACCCTAAACCCTAAACCCTAAACCCTAAACCCTAAACCCTAAACCCTAGGAAAGCTCCAGGAGATGCAACGCTGTACATGGTTGCCAAAGACCTGGACGTGATGGGCCTCCTCGAGTGCCTCAGAACGCGTGGGGGTTTAGGGTTTAGGGTTTAGGGTTTAGGGTTTAGGGTTTAGGGTTTAGGGTTTAGGGTTTAGGGTTCCTTAACCCAATGAGGTTTGAGGGTTGTACATGACTTGAGAGCTGCCTAGTTCTGATAGGCTCGCTGTCAGGTTTAGGGTTTAGGCTTTAGGGTTTAGGGTTTAGGGTTTGGGCTTAGGGTTTAGGATTTCGGCTTCGGGTCTGGAGTTTCAGGGTTTCAAGGGCTCAAGGTCTTGGATCTTAGAGTTGGTTTAGAGTTCAAGTCTGGGATGTTGCCCCTCTATGCAAACAGTCCTTAGCAGGAATTATGACACCCCCCTATCCTTGTACTAAGAGTCCTTCTAGCAAGGAATCAGCACCCCTATTCGAATCCTTCTTGAGGACGGTTAGTACAAGGGGGGAACATCCCTAAACCCTAAACCCCTAAACCCTAGGACTGTTAGTATGAAGGTTTTGTTTCCAGTTTCAAGGGTTCAGGGGCTTAGGGGACAGCTTCAGGAAGAGCAGTAATGGGCACAACGGTTTATTACTTTTATTATTCTTATTCTTAGTATTGTTATTGTCATTGTTATTGTTATTGGAATTGGTATTGGTATTGGTACTGTTACTGCTACTGCTACTGTTACTGTAGCTGTGCTATTGTTATTGTTATTGTTGTTGTGAATGTTATTGTTACTGTTATTGTTACTGGTACTGTTATTGTTATTGTGATTGCTATTGTTATTGCTATTGTTATTGTTATTGTTATTGTGATTGTGATTGTGATTGTGATTGTTATTGTTATTGTTATTGTTATTGTTATTGTTATTGTTATTGTTATTGTTATTGTTATTGTTATTGTATTTCCATTCTTTTTATTTGTGATTTTATGTTTATTATTTTTGTTGCGGGGTGGGGTTTCGAGTTTAGGGTGTGGGGTATATGGGGAGTGGGGAGGGCTGGGGGGAGGGGCCCTAAATCTTAAAACCCGAAACCCAGATGTCCCAGGCCCAGACTTCTTTAAGTGGTGCTAGAGGCGAGTTAGGGTTGAGGGTTCAGGGTTCGCCGCGAAACTCGATGTTCCGCAACGTAGTGCGATGGTTCGGCCAGTGGTAAAAACGTAAACCCTAAACCCTAAACCCTAAACTTCAAGGATTACCAGCGTTTCCGCTTCTCACTGGAACAAGCCCCCATATTCCCATCCAAGTTGATTAGGCCTCCACCATTCTCATTCCCAACTTAAGATTTCAACTCCCTGAATTCCCAAACCCGAAGCGCACAACCTGGGTTTAGGGCTTCGGGTTTGTGGGCTTTAGGGTTTAGGGTTTAAGGTGATGCAAAACAGGATTCAGGTTTAGGGTTTAAGGTTACCCTAAACCCTAAACCCTAAACCTTAAACCCTAAACCCTAAACCCTAGACCCTAAACCCTAAACCCTAAACCCTAAGCCCTAAACCCTGGGGTTTAGGGCAACCACGAGGAGACTGCGCTCTTCCAAGCCAAGAACGGAATGGCCAATCAGTGGACTCCTGAGCGCCCTCAAGCCTTTGTAAGGTTCGGGTTTTGGGGTTTAGGGGTTTAGGGTTTAAGGGTTTAGGGGTTTAGGGTTTAGAGTTCAGGGTTTAGGGTTTAATTCGGGTTTAGGGTTTAGGGCTTAGGGTTCAGCGCTGCATTCTTCCCGAAAACTCTGAACTCTACGCTCCTGACACGTTTGAGAGAATTGGGGAGGGTCTCCTGATCCCGGTTCCCAGACCCCTGGGAGGATCAGTAGAAGTCGTGCCCCCTCCTGCTACCATCGAGGAACACTTGAGCTGATCTACTTGTCGATCCCTCATCCCTAAACCCTCAAACCCTCGAACCCTCAAACCCTCAAACCATAAACCCTAAACCCTAAACCCTAACCCTAAACCCTAAACCCTAAACCCTAAACCCTAAACCCTAAACCCTAAACCCTAACCCTAAACCCTAAACCCTAAACCCTAAACCCTAAACCCTAAACCCCTGTAAACCCCTAAGATCTTTTAGGGGGTCTGGGTTGGCCCCAGGCCAGGAGGATCTCGAGAAGGTCGTAGAGCTTTGGCTGCTCTTGGTGTTGCCCGGACTCCTGGGCCTCATAGGGTTTAGGGTTTAGGGTTTAGGGTTTAGGGTTTAGGGTTTAGGGTTTAGGGTTTAGGGTTTAGGGTTTAGGGTCCTCTAGTTGCTACGCTGATGCGAGATGTGTAAGTGCAAACCCTAAACCCCGAAATCCCTGAAACTCTTCAACCTTCTTAACACCCTCTATAATCCTTTAGACCCTAAGCCCTAAACCCTAAACCCAGGCGAGCTTCCCCAAGTTCCTGATTCATTGCTTAGGGTTTAGGGTTTAGGGTTGAAGGTTTAGGGTTTAGGGTTTAGGGTTTTAGGGTTTAGGGTTTAGGGTTTTATGGTTTAGGGTTTAGTGTTTCGGGTTTCGGGTGAGGTCTTGGGTGAGGGTGGGGGTCCATGAGTTCAGGGTTGAAGGGTTTAGGGAACTTGGTTTTCAGGGTTTAAGGGTTTAGGGGTTTAGGGGTTAGGGCTTAAGGCTTCAGGGTTTAAGGGTTTAGGGCTTAGGCAGATGCATAGCGCGGGTTCAAAAAACGAGTGCTTAGTGTCTGTGAGGATGCTGGGGTTTGAGGGATCAAGGGATTCAGACTCGGACCCCTAAGGTGGTACCCCTAAAGGTTCCCCTTAATATACTCCTAATATGGCCCTTATATTCCCTTAGGGATCCTTAAAAAGGGATCCCAAAACCCAAGGGTACAACCTTAAGGGTCCAAGGTAGAACCCCTACAAGGGAGGATGGCTATGGCAGGTGCAGAAGACTTCAAGATGAAGACCTGAACGCGAGACTGCTTAAACCCAACCCAATCCCTAAAGCCCCAACCCTATAGGGTTTAGGGTTTAGGGTTTAGGGTTTAGGGTTTAGGGTTTAGGGTCTAGGGTTCAGGGTTCAGGGTTTCATGGTCCCTGAGGAGGGGCCCTTAGAAGAGGACCCTCTTATGCCCCTTGTATACTCCACACAACCCAAGGGCCCATATTTCAGCACCCTTAAATGGAGGTAAGGGCCCATGTAACTACCCTAAGAGGTTTTGAGCCCTAAAACCTAAACCCTAAACCCTAAACCCTAAACCCTGAACCCTGAACCCTGAACCCTGAACCCTGAACCCTGAGGACCTCGCCGTGGAAATCTTCCTTTCGGAGCCATGCTTGGTGGACTTGGCTGCCCCCGTGCCTGGGCCGGCGTGGCACAGCTTAGGATTTAGGGATTTAGGTACACCCTAAACCCTAAACCCTAAGCCCTAAGCCCTAAGCCCTCAGCCCTAAGCCCTAAGCCCTAAGCCCTAAGCCCTAAACCCTAAACCCTAAACCCACGGCTCGGTTTAGGGCTCTCAGCAGTGAGCGTGGTGCTGAAACTGGGCTGTGCGCCGAGGCCTGCTGCAAAAACAAGGCTTTTGCAGAAACCATCAGGTCGCGACCCACGCACGAAAATCAAGAGGCCGTGTATCACAAGCATTCCTAGGGTTTAGGGTTTAGGGTTTAGGGTTAGGGTGGAGCATGGCAGTGTCCCTCGAATCTGCGAATACAGACGAAGGAAGAGTTTACACCCCCCACAACTCCACACCTGCAGAGGCCTCTAACCTGCTCTTGCGCTTTCAAATTCAAACACACTTCGAGTTTCCGATGGAGCTGTGCTATGTTAGGAGTCGTTAACCTGCCACGATCTAAGAGCAGTTTCATGGGCCCTTCATGTGGTTTTATCCTCTTTAAAGGGTGCTGATGTATGAGTTTTAGGGTTTAGGGTTTAGGGTTTAGGGTTTAGGGTTTAGGGTTTAGGGTTTAGGGTTTAGGGTTTAGGGTTTAGGGTTTAGGTGGGTAAACAAGGGGTCCCCTTCTAAGGGCCAATATCAAGGGACCATGTAACCGAAACCCTAAACCCTAAACCCGAATAACGACCCTAACACAAGATGCAAGCCCATAAGAGGCCACTCCCTTTAGGGTTTAGGGTTTAGGGTTTAGGGTTTAGGGTTTAGGGTTTAGGGTTTAGGGTTTAGGGTAGAGGTTTTGGGTTTAGGGTTTAGGGTTTAGGGTTTAGGGTTTAGGGTGATCTTGTTTTGCTCAGCGGCAGCTACAAGATCATGTCCTCACCACCAACACCCCAAACCCAAAACACTTACACCCTAAACCCTAAGCCCTAAACCCTAAACCCTAAACCCTAAACCCTAAACCCTAAACCCTAAACCCTAAACCCTAAACCCTAAACCCTAAACCCTAAACCCTAAACCCTAAACCCTAAACACTTACACCCTAAACCCTAAACCCTAAACCCTAAACACTTACACCCCAAACCCTAAACCCTAAACACTTACACCCTAAACCCTAAACCTAAACCCTAAACCCCAAACCCTAAACCCTAAACCCTGAAGTCCACAGTCTGGTTTTCTAAAGCGTCGGCCACGACGCACCCTCACGGCCCAATGAGGTGAACGTTTGCGGTGCGGTTATGGGTGGCTTGGTGTGATATGCAGGGTTTAGGGTTTAGGGTTTAGGGTTTGGGTTTAGGGTTCGGGGTTTAGGGTTTAGGGTTTAGAGTTTGGGGTTGGGGTGTGGGGTTTGGGGTTTAGTGTGGGTTGTGTTTTATGGCAAGTTGCATGTACAGGGATGACAGCGGCCAAGGACATCACGTTGGGAACTACTTGCTTCTTGCAAGTTCCCGGGTACTACTACCCCCATTTATACGTCTACTTATAGCCTACGAAGTGAACGTAGGGGACTTATACGGACGGTTAGACTTGGGGATACAGGTACTCTGAACCTCCAAGTTGTATTCTGCACCCTCAGCCCTAAGCCCTAAACCCTAAACCCTAAACCCTGAGTTTACTTTGCATTGACCCCTTCCTGGATGCGAGAGGGCCCCAGGCAAGTGCTTCAGGGTTCATGTTGGGATCCTCAGTCGATCATACGCAGGATTTTAGGGTTTCGGGTTTAGGGTTTAAGGTGTAGGGTGTAGGGTTTAGGGTTTAGGGTTTAGGTTTAGGGGCTTAGGCCCCAGGCATGTGCACCCAACAAGGTCAGCATCCAGTTTGTACCCTGAGCCCTAAACCAAAGAGAGCTTGAAGTAGCCTTTTGTGTATGCGTATGACCTCGCAAAAATCTCAAGAGCTCTTCAATGTTCAATGTTCTGGATGTACACATGGCACCCCCTTCAAGTAAACACCTAGCAACCCGCAACCCGAACCCTAAACCCTAAACCCTAAACGGTCGGGTTGGAGAACCCGGTTTCCGCTGTGGTTCTGGGCACGCCTGCTTTAACATGAAGTTGCGCAAGGATTGTATGACGTCAGGCCCCAAACCTAAAACCCAAAACATTAAAGAATCCAGGGTTTAGGGTGTAGGGTTTGGGGTTTAGGGTTCAGGGTTCAGGGTTTAGGGTTTACCCTAGCCCTAAACCACAAGACCCTGAGCCTATCGACCTCATGCAGTAAACTCCAGACAGTTGGAACATGGCCTAATTCCCCTCCCCCTAATGTTAACCCCCCCCTACCCCCTAATTTTAAGTACCCCTATTGTGGTTTAGGGTTTCGGGTTTAGGGTTTAGGGGTTTAGGGCCTAATATTCAGTACCCCTATGATGGTTATATTAGAGCATAGGGGGGGGGGTATTTAATAATAGGGGGTAGGGGGTGTTTAATTAGGGGGAGGGGTCGAAGGATGATTTGAGCATGGAGTCCCTTTAGTATACCTTCTTGGGGCGGTTTGGGGGATAAGGATGTTCCAGCTCCAAATGCCCTAAACCCTAAACCCTAAACCCTACGAGAACTCGACATGCCCAGGAAATTTTCAGCAGCTGTGCTGGATTTTTGACCGGCTCGGCGATCCCGGGCAGGTGAATCGAAGCTGCACAGTGTGTTCCTTGGTGGGGGGTGGAGGGTTTTGTTCTTAAGGTACTTAGGGGTTTTCCAGGGCCAAGTAGGGTGTAGGTTTGTGGTTTAGGGTGTAGGGTTTAGGGTGTAGGGTGTAGGGTTTAGGGTTTAGGGCTGCACAAAGATGTTGTGCATTCGGGTCAGAGGCACCTGCAAGGAGTGTCTTGTGGCGATACTTGCTGCTGTGAGCTTGCGGGCCGCGTAATTCCTAAACTACCGACTCAAGAGCTTGGCGGACATTCCGGAAGCCACTCGAAACCCCTAAACACTGAACTCTAAACCCTACACCCTAAACCCTAAACCCTAAGGCCAAGTACGTCTTCCTTGGCAGCTACGTGGACAGGCCTGGCCTGCAGCACTCGGAGCGGTTTTCGGGGTTCAAGCATTCCTCAACCCTAGACTCCCAAACTCAAAACCCAAAAGCCTAAACCCTAAACCCAAACCCTAAACCCTAAACCCTAAACCCTAAACTCTCAACCATTCTTGAGGCCGAAGCCCTGTGCAAACTAGCAGGCTCCTGTTGCTTGAGGGCGTTCAGGGTTCAGGGTTTAGGGTTTAGGGTTTGGGGTTTGGGGTTTGGGGTGGCAAAGGTCATATGGGATTCGGCAAGCTCGCCCACTCCATGGCCGGTAGGGTTTTTAGGGTTTAGGGTCTTAGGGTTTAGGTCTCTATGGAGTCGAGGTGTAGCTTGCGGGCTTCTTTGGAGTGTACTTGGAGGTTTGGGAGGCCAAATATGGAACATTCGAGTAAATAAATAAATAAATATACATATACATATATATATATATACGCACACATACGCACATACCCTTTGAAGATTGTTTTGGGTACCTCATTCCCTCCTTCTAGAAACAATCCACATCATGGGTTCCCGTAGCCCTAAACCCTAAACCCTAAACCCTAAACCGCCTAAGCCGGTATAGAGGGGAGTAGTATAGAGGGGGGGTGGTAGGGAACCCATGACCACAGGGGTGATCAAAGCATCGAGACCATGGCCACCCTGCTGCTGTTCAAGTGCCGGCATCTGTGCGCAGCATTTGTTTTGGAATCTTCGGTTAGCGTTTAGGGCTTGGGGTTTAGGGTTTGGTGTAGGGTTTAGGGTTTAGGGTTTAGGTTTTAGGTTTTTAGGTTTTTAGGTTTTAGGTTTTAGGTTTTAGGTTTTAGGGGGGTTCCTCTCGGATGTCCCCACACACCACCCTACGGCATCTTCTGACAGGATCGGGATGACTGAATCTCGACCTAGAGTATAGCATGTAGAATTCAGGAACACTTCACTTATTCGAGGTATGAAAGGTTACTCTAGATGCCCTAAACCCTAAGTAGACCCTAACCTCTACAGCCCTAAATCCTCCAACCCTTGATCTTGTCGAATTGGCATGGTGCGTGGCGGAGAAATGATACGTTAGCCCCCCCCCCCCCCCCCCCCCCCCCCCCCCCATGCAACCCCTCTGGTGTTAGGGGCTCTGCTAAACCTTGGGTGAAAGTTTCAGGTTCACGGTTTAGGGTTTCCTGAACCTATGTGGATCCCTTAACTGGGGAATATTGCAATAGAGGTTTCGACTACAATCATATTGGGGGTCTTTGCGTAGTCTCCTTAAGACAACAATTATGATGCCAGTAGGGTTTAGGGTTTAGGGTTTAGGGTTTAGGGTTTAGGGTTTAGGGTTTAGGGTTTAGGGTTTAGGGTTTAGGGTTCCTTAAGACAACAATTATGATGCCAGTAGGGCTTCCATGGGCTGATAGACTATGTCATTTAAGAGTGTATGTTCAAGAATGTTCCAATCTAGGCCCACTTCCGGTGGGCAATTTCCACCTATCTACCCCTTTAGGGTTTAGGGTCTAGGGTCTAGGGTTTGGGGTACCCCCACCTGTCCCTAATTCAAGGGCCCAACCTCCGGGTTGCTTGCAGAAGCCTGTGCATGGGTAGCTGAGGTATCCGGACCGCCGGGCTCTTGGAACGAGACGGTGGGTTTAGGGTTTAGGGTTTTAGGGTTTAGGGTTCTTTTCTTGGTTTGCCCCCCCCCCCCCCCCCGGGGGGGGGGGGGGGGGGGCAAAAAAACATCATCGTCAGCTGCTGATTCCCAAGCTGCATCAACATCATCGTCCTCAGCTGATTCCCAAGACTCGCCCCAGTGTCCCCATTTGCCCTTTTGTGGTCCAGGTTCCCTTATAAAAGTAGCCAACCCCAAAAAGGGTACCCTTTTTATCACAATGTTTCTGGGCTACCAAGACGATGTTTTGTGGGATCGGATGGCCAGCATTCTAGGATCCAGAAATGGGCCCTGTTTTTGCTTCTTCGCGGGTTCGGTTCCCTTGTCAAACCCTAAGGCCCTAAACCCTTAACCCTAAACCCTGTGCACTCTGGAACCCAGAGTATTCAACATGAAGCACGATTCTGCACACAGGGTGGTTGATTCGATAGGCGAACCGGAGACCTGGCAGATATTCTGGATGAGAAATAACCAACCCTAAACCCTTAACCCTAAACCCTAAAGCCCCAAAAGTCTAAACCCTGTATCCTGAAGGAGAGAGTTGTAGCAGACTTGGGAACGCCTATCGGAAGAGGGGCCATCATGCTGATGCACTTCATGTTAAGCGGGTTTAGGGTTTAGGGTTTAGGGTTTAGGGTTTAGGGTTTAGGGTTGATAAAGGCCTGAAGTGGCTGCATGAAGGGAAACCAACTAGGGTCCCCAAAAAGCCACATGAACATCAGGATCCTACTGTTGGGGTATAAGGGCGCCCTATAAGGGGGATTCCGATTCCGAAACCCCGTTTGTAGGATCGTTATGTTTATGTTGTGGGCCCCGAATTACGGCGAATCTAACTGAAACAAAAAAAGCAAGGTCTCGTCCTCCTCCGAGGGCGGCATGTGCCTGGAATGCATTGAGCGCTGGCAACTCCTCGGAACCTTGAGGTTTTTGGCTTAACGGTACCCGTGCCCGAGCATGCCATCTAGGATGCCCCGGCCGTATCCTGCTGCCCTTTTAGTTCGGGGTCAGCTGCCACCCTTATAAGCCACACGAAGCCAATGTGTGCAGACTTTCCTGCAATCTGGCCATGTGGCTTCTAGAAAGCAGGCTGGTTTCACGATAAGATCCGAGGCGAGCATTGTCACAAGTCCCAAATCCTTAAGGTTCGGATGAAGGGCTCTAGGATGGGGGGTTGAGGGTTTCGGGTCCACAGAAGCTGCAGCAGGTCTTTGCCCAAGATGGCTCACACCCTACTACTGGATGTGGAGGTTGCACTTGGAGGTTCAGGGTACTTATAACCCAATTATAAGCACCCTAATTGGGTTATAGTTGGGCTATAAGTACAGTTATAACTGGGTTACTAAGAACCTCCAAGTAAGGCAATGATGCCACAATATGTGTCACGAGCCTGACGACCCCACTGCCTGAATGCCAGCAACAGGTTCGAATTTCCAATCCCCTGCTCAAGTTCCTAAACCCTAAACCCTAAACCCTAAACCCTAAATCCTAAACCCTAAACCCTAAACCCTAAACGCCAGTGCACCCCAATATGCCCAAACGGCCTCTACAGCAAGACCATGGGACACAGTGTGCCTCGCCTGGCGTGTCCGAGTGTGAGCGACCATAAGCCCTATTCAGGGGTTGGAGGGTTCACGACTCAGGGTCGTTTTGTCCCATAATTCACGCCCAAAATGCCCTACCCCCTAAACCCTAAACCCTAAACCCTAAACCCTAAACCCTAAACCCTAAACCCTAAACCCTAAACCCTAAACCCTAAACCCTAAACCCTAAACCCTAAACCCTACACCCTAAACCCTAAACCCTAAACCCTAAACCCGCACCATGGAGGAATGCCAGAGCATCAACCGCATCTACGGCTTCTACGATGAGTGCAGGAGGCGCTGCAGCCTGAAATTCTGGAAGCCCCTGGGCCGCAATGTTAGGAGCAACAGTACAGGGTGGGGCCCCCTAGTTATAAGTAGAGTTATAAGGGCCCTAAGTTAGGTTATAAGTCCCTTAACTACAGTTAGTATAGTAAGGGGGCCCCACCCTGTAGGGTCTAGGGTTTAGGGTTTGGGGTTTGGGGTTTAGGGTTTGGGGTTTAGGGCTTCGGGTTCGAAGCCTGTTGCAAAAGGGCTTAGGGTTTGGGATTTGGGGTTTGGGGTTTTGGGGCTAGGGTTTCGGGTGTAGGGGGAGCAAGAAGGAGAAAAAGATGCCAACAGCCCTTTCTCCTTCAGAACCCTAAGCCCTCAACTCTTTAGGGTTTAGGGTTTAGGGTTTAGGGTTGAGGGTTGAGGGTTTAGGGTTTAGGGTTTAGGGTTTAATCAACAGTAAGCGCTCGGTTCCCCTGACGTTTTGCCCCCGACATGTGGGGCACCCGACAGCACACAACTGCGGGTAGTCCTACACAGCGCTTCAGGGTTTAGGTGTTGGGTTTGGGGTTTAGGGTTTAGGGTTTCAGTTTCAGATTGTACACTCTAGCCGGACGCTGTTGCAAAATATGGGGCTGTAGACACTGAGCCTGTCCTCATGAAGGTCACACAGGAGTCCCCCGCCATGTGCTGTCCTCATGCCTTCGCGCTTGTCCCCCTGAAGGGGGTTTAGGGTTCCCCAAACCCCAAACCCTAAACCCGCCCGCCAAACCTCTCCTTCTGTGGGTAGGCGGGGCGCGTCGAGCGCCAGCGAGACCATGGCAGGCTCTGCTGGGCTGCAGAGCCTGCCAACCGCCAAACCCGACCCTGTGTCGCAGAATGTGCGGCCGAACCCTGGCCTGGGGCCCCCTGGAGGCTGTGCCGACTGCGGCCTTCTTTGCTGGACCTGGCGCTAAAGGGCAGTTCAGCCTGGCCAACTGCTCAAAAATTGCTTTTGCCCTCGTTGGGCCTGGGAAGCGCCTGGCCTGGGAGGCCCCTGAAAGGCCCCGCAAGGCCCCTGGCCCCCTGGGAGTCCCCCGCCATGTGCTGTCCTCATGCCTTCGCGCTTGTCCCAGGTCTGCCCCCCCTTAACCCTCCTAAACCCTGAAGGGGGTTTAGGGTTCCCCAAACCCCAAACCCTAAACCCGCCCGCCAAACCTCTCCTTCTGTGGGTAGGCGGGGCGCGTCGAGCGCCAGCGAGACCATGGCAGGCTCTGCTGGGCTGCAGAGCCTGCCAACCGCCAAACCCGACCCTGTGTCGCAGAATGTGCGGCCGAACCCTGGCCTGGGGCCCCCTGGAGGCTGTGCCGACTGCGGCCTTCTTTGCTGGACCTGGCGCCCTTTAGGCAGTTCAGCCTGGCCAACTGCTCAAAAATTGCTTTTGCCCTCGTTGGGCCTGGGAAGCGCCTGGCCTGGGAGGCCCCTGAAAGGCCCCGCAAGGCCCCTGGCCCCCTGGGAGGGCCCTAAAGGCTGAAAGGCACTTGGAGCTCCTGCGACCTCTGCACCTTTCAAGGTGCCCTTGAAAGGTTGTTTGGAGGAAACACCTGTGCCCCGGACAAGGGTCAGGGACTGCTGCTCTGAAAAGGCTGAAGTCATATGCCTCCGCAAGCAGGTAACTTTCGAACTTCGGCGTAAGAAGAAAACAATGAGAAGGCCCTCCGGCCGAAGACACCCACCCCCGAACGCAAACGCTGATTTGGCTCTGGCAAGCTTCTAGATATGACTTTCACAAGGCCTGTTTAGAGCAACACCATGACACCCCGACGTCGAGAATAGAAACAATGAGAAGGCCCTCCGGCCGAAGACACCCCCCAACGCAAACGCTAATTTGGCTCTCGCAAGCTTCTAGACATGACTTTCACAAGGCGTGTCTAGAGCAACAAGCCTTTCGCTATGCAGCCTTGACACCCCGACGTCGAGAATGGAAACGCTAAGAAGGCCCTCCGGCAAAAACTTTCCCCAACACAAAACCCAATTTTCTCTTGAAAGCTCGAAATCTAACATCTTTTCCAAGGCACATTCTCAGATGTCACCTTGCAACAAGGCATCAGGCTCCATGACATCAGGAAGCGTGCTAGATGTTAGTCCGAAGTACAGCGTTAAGTGCAAAAGTTTTTTTGAATGTGGGCTGGCTTTGGTTTGGCTGGCTCTGGTTTGGCTCGTTTTGAGTAGTGTTTGGGTGGTCTTGGGGTGGGCATGTCTGCACACAATTGCGTACAGCTGACCACTGCTACACCCTAAACCCTAAACCCTAAACCCTCAGATCATGCAGCAGAAACCCTGAACCCTGAACCCTACAGCCCTGGAGGCAGTCTCTAGGTGTTGTCCGCAGATCGCTGTTAAACTGGTTGTGCTTCGGGTTTAGGGTTTGGGGTTTAGGCTTAGGGTTTAGGGTTTAGGGCTTAGGGGATGTAAAAAAGGGCAACTATCGCTCGCGCGCTCGCGTAGGCTGGCTGGTACCCCCACTCCTCACGCAAACGAGGGTTTAGGGTCCTACCTCTACCCCCCAACCCCCTACTCTTTGAGGGCTTAGGTTTCTACTTCTATCCCCCAACCCCCCCACTCTTTGAGGGTTGAGGGTTCTACTTCTCCGCCCCAACCCCCCTACTCTTTGAGGGTTGAGGGTTCTACTGCTTCCCCCCAATCCCCCTAAGAAGCTGGGCTTCTTGTGCTTAGTGTTCACTCGCCTTGCCAATCCTGCGCACCGATTCAAGTCCAAATGCCCCTGGGTTTAGGGTTTAGGGTTGAGGGTTTAGGGTTTAGGGTTTATCCAAAGGGCAAAACGTGGCACCAATGGGCCAGGGCAGAAACCTGTCCTAAAAGGCTCGAGCGCCCACGTAGAGTGCCAGTTTAGGGTTTAGGGCGCCCTCAACCCTAAGCCCCAAACCCTAAACCCTAAACCCTAAACCCTCTTAAGCGAGTTTCATGAGCACTGGCGGACGCAACGACCAGGACCTGGACGAACGTCTTCAACTGCATGCCCTGCTGCGCTCGCATCCAGCATCGCATCCTTTGCGTGCCCTGGCTGCGCCACTGACGGTTTAGGGTGTAGGGTTTAGGGTTTAGGGTTGCCTGGCTCCGCCACTTCCTTAAGGACGAAATGAGCCCCTGAAAGGTTTATTATGGTTCATATACTTCAACAGGGATTGTAGTAGTATAGCGGGTCTATGACGCCAATTTTAGGTTCATTTGGTCCCCAAGGTTAGAACGCTCTCCGACATACTTTGAAGGTTTGAGCCCGGCTAGCAGGCCTCAACCTCAATCCTCAGCCGAACTTCTCCCTCCATTTAACCATCCACACACTAGTGTTGACTTTCATGTATTTACATGCAGCAAGCACAGAAGCATGGGGATTTACTAGCGGTTGGGGGGCGTACTTTGAGGTTGAGGGGTGGATATACGCAGGCCTATGAAAACCCAAAGTAAGGCCATATTCAAGTATGACTGGACCAACTACCCAGGAGAACCCTTATCCCTAACCCGAGGGTTCGAAGCTGGTCTAGGGTTTAGGGATTTTTTTTGCAGGGGGGGGGGGGGGGGGGGGGGGGGTCGTGGTTAAGGGTGTTAAGAGCCCAGCACGGGTTGTAAATGGCAACCTCCGACCCCAAACAATTGAAAACCCTAAGCCCTATAAACCCGAAAGCCCGAACCTTGAACCCCAAATCCACCAGTAACTGGCCGCCCGGATGCTCCGTCAACTAGCCTTGGGTCTTTACCATCTTGTGCTGGCCTTAGGAGTTTCGGGTCGTCTGGGCCTGAATATATTCTAGCCAGAAGCGGTAGTAATCTGATTGCGGAGGCGATCCGATTATGGAGACTCGTATTGCTGTTGACTTGCATGGTGTGTTGCATCTCTTGCTGGAGAAGCAGGCAGGTCCCATGATCCCCAAAGGGTCCTAAGTACCTACCATAGTAGAAGTAGGGTTTCTAGAATAGGAATTGCTCTTTTGGTTTGGGTAAGTGTCCTACGGGTACTCCGGACCCTTTGGGATCTAGAGTCAGAGTGTTGCACCCTAAACCCTAAACCCTAAACCCCAAACCCTAAACCCTAAACCCCTCGTCAGGTAGGGCCCCAAAGACGCTCTGAGGTCCCCAACGGACTCAGCCTGGATCTCCAAAACGCTGGCACCCACTTCCGGGGCTTCAGTTACCCTAAACCCTAAACCCTAAACCCTAAACCCTAAACCCTAAACCCTAAACCCTGAACCCTGAACCCTGAACCCTGAACCCTAAACCCTAAACCCTAAACTTAAACTCCAAAGGGGCACCCCCCGAAAATCCCGATTACTTCGGCTCTTAGACTCTTGGAGGAGATGTGCTAAAGCCCCAGGCCTTTGGGCGGTTTAGGGTTCGGGGTTTTTGGGGTTTATTGTGCATGGTTTCATGGGGGATGTTTTTTGTTTAAAGGGCGTTTCGGGTTTTTTTGGGCTTGTAGAATTCCAGGGTTCTGTTCACGTCCTGAGTGCCATGCATTCTTGCTCTGGTTGCACTGACTGCTAGCCCATAGCCCAACCTCCACGCTGTCGTCCCGCGCCGTGCCTCAAACCCTAATTAAACCCTAAACCCTAAACCCTAAACCCTAAACCCTAAACCCTAAACCCTAAACCCTAAACCCTAAACCCTAAACCCTAAACCTTACTAAACCCTAAGCCCTAAACCCTAAACCTTGATCATCCGCGAGAGGTACCTTTGACAAGATCAACCGCATTGTTAGGCGCCGCTGCTGATGTCGAGATTGGGCTTCGGCGCTGGACTTGGGGCTTTGGAGAATGGTCTTTAGGGTTTAGGGTTTAGGGTTTCGGGACTAGGGTTTAGGGTTTAGGGTTTCGGGATTGTTGATAAATCTGTCGGGTTTTGGGTTTGGGGCTTCGTCGGGTCTGCAAGAAGGTTCAGGTTTTGCACAACGAGCCTTTTGAATGGAAGTTGCATTGTCCCTCGAAGAGACATAAGATATGATTGAGAGGTGTAGGGCTTCGGGTTTAGAGTTTAGGGGGTTTGGGGGTTTAGGGTTTAGGGTTTAGGGTTTAGGGTCTAGGGTTTAGGGCTACCGGGCTGACCCAGGCCACATCGCTTGAGAACACAAGAGTATTCTTGGAAGGCCGACGGATGTGCCAGATGAAGGCCTGCTCTACGACTTGTTGTGGGGCGCCTCTGGGCCTGTCACTCTTTTTGGGGGGGTTTAGGGTTTAGGGTTTAGGGTTTAGGGTTTAGGGTTTAGGGTTTCAAAAAAAAAAGGGTTTAGGGTTTAGGGTTTAGGGTTTAGGGTTTAGGGTTTAGGGTTTAGGGTTTAGGGTTTAGGGCTCAAAACCCTAAACTTGGGATGTTCCCCCTTAGACTAGCAGTCCTTAATAGGGACTAGAATGGGGGTACTCCAATCCCCATTAAGGCTGTTAGTATAAGGGAAAACATCCCAAAACCCTAAACTCAAGAGCCCAAGGGTAGTGGCCCAGAACCCGAAGCCTTGAACATTGTGCCCCGTACCCTAAGCCTATCGCTTGCAACGCGCAAGATGCTTTAAAGCATTTGGAGGTTTACGATATTAGGGGTACCTGACTGGGGTCCTGATAATGAAGTGATCCTATTATTCTTTAGGAGGCCTCGCTTCAAAGGACTAGGGTTCTCTAGGAACCTAAGAGGCTCTTTACTCGACGAGGTTTCGGGTTCTCAAAAGAAGGGGTGGGGGTTCGCTTCACGCAAGGCGCTCTGGCTTCACAGGGGCCGCCGGGGGTGGGCGGGGGGGCAGGGCAGGGGGAGTCTAAGCCTAAGCACAAGCCTTACCAAAGAAGGTCTTCTGCCTATCCACAAAAAGCTACAGCAGCCGAAAGGCTAAGCCCTACGCTTGGCCTAAACCCTAAACCGTAAACCCTAAATCTAAACCCTACACCCTAAACCCTAAACCAAAGTAGAGCAAGTTCGGTCTTGGCTGAGGAACCCGACCAGCGCGTGAGGGGTGGCTTGGCAGCAATATGGTGCATCTTGAATCAAATATGAGATTCATGGGTTCACCTTCTACCCCTTCCCCCAGCTAGGTTGCCCCCATAATTATGGCTATTTAGGGATAATCAAGCCCAATTAATGTCATTCGAGGCGGGAACCTGGGGGGGGGAGGGGGGGTTCGTACAGGGAAACCCATGTGAGATGTTTCCGCAGGCTTTGTGGATGAAGTTCGCATGCGAAGCTGCTTCGGCCCAGATGTGGCTACTCGGCCGAACAGTGCGGAGGTGGGATGCTGGTTCACACTAAGCGGGTTCAGCCCTGCAGTTAGCAGCCCAAACCCCTAAACCCCTAAACCCCTGAACCCCTGAACCCCTGAACCCCTAAACCCCTAAACCCCCAAACCCCTCAACCCCTCAACCCCTCACCCTATACCCTAAACCCCCTCCAAACTCTGACGCCTAAGTGCTAGGCGGGTGGCAAAATCAAAGCCCTAAACCCTACGCAGACCCGAATTCCAAGGTTGGAACAGGGATCCGAAGTATGGGCCCTTGCTATGTATAGTGTATTGTCGGGTTACATAACTAGGGTTTAGGGTTTAGGGTTTAGGGTGTAGGGTTTAGGGTTTAGGGTTTAGGGTTGAGGGTTTAGGGTTTAGGAATTCGGGGTTAGGGTTTAGGGGTTCCGGGATGTGTTGCTTTCCAGCTCATGGAACAGAGTGGAGGTCCAAAAAAGCTGTTTCGGGTTTAGGCTTTAGGGCTTCAGGGCTTTAGGGCTTTGGGGCTTTGGGGCTTTGCAGCTTTGGATGCTGACTTGAAGCTTAGCTGCAGGTGCTACACAGTGGTAAATCTCCTTCGTGCCTGGGTAAAGCTATCATTCGTTCCGGGGTGCGCCCCTGGAACATGCACTACTGCATGGGGGAACCCTAAACCCTAAACCCTAAATCCTAAGGGGTGCCCATGCTGGTTGTGGGAGTATCCCTTTGCGGTTTGGGTTTGGGGTTTGGGGTTAGGGTTTAGGGTTTAGGGTTAGTAAGCGAAAACAGGGAGTCAGGGAATTAGACGCCCTGTGGCTCTTTTCTCAGAGATGATCTAGGGAACCTCGTTCCTTAAGCCCTAAACCGCAAACCCTAAACCCTAAACCCTAATCCCTAATCCCTATAAACCCTAAAAGCTACAGAAATCCTCGCGGCTGTGATCTCTAGAGCCCAGGTGGCGCCCTTCCTGGAGACGCACGGGCTGGATCTGCATCTTGGGCAGCCAGACTGGGCTTAAAGGGTTTAGGGTTTAGGGTTTAGGGTGTAGGGTGTAGGATGTAGGCTGTAGCGTCGGGTTCAAAAAAAGGGTGGATTGGAGGGTTTAAGGGTTTTAAGGGTTTCGCGGTTCACTGTTTAGGCGTTTAGGGTTCAAAGTTTTAAAGGGTACCTCACTGGACCTTTTTGCAAGTGCCTTTAAGGGTACCTCGATTGGGACAAGTAGGTGGCTCTGTTGTTACAAGAGCCCTAAACCCTAAACCCTAAACCCTAAACCCTAAACCCTAAACCCTAAACCCTAAACCCTTAACCCTCTCTATCACATATATATATATATATATATTTTTATTTATTTATTTAAACCTTCGGGACTTGTCGGTCAATCTGCCCCACGTTGTTCGTGACTTGTGGGTCAATTGCCCCCCCCCCCCCCCCCCCCCCCCATTGTTCGTGACTTTTTTGTTCAATGTGGACCAGTGTTCGTGACTTTTCGGTCAATCTGACCCCAAAGTTCGTGACTTTTCGGTCAATCTGGACCAGTGTTGGTGACTTTTCGGTCAATCTGGGGAGTGGGTCCCAGAAGGTTCAGTGGAAAACGTGTCCGAATTGGTAAGATGAAAACCTTTTATTTTCCTAATGTTCTGGGATTCTTTGGGCGAGTGGGTTTTTTTCTAATCCTGGAACCCCCTAATGATTATGAATGCTAGAACAGTGACCCCCTAAACCCTAAACCCTAAACCCTGAACCCTGAACCCTGAACCCTAAACCCTAAACCCTAAACCCTATCTATTCGGTTTTTGGGCCTCCGAGCACGCCAAGGATTTGCAGGTCGGCGCTTGTGGAGGAGGGGTTCGAGCCGCGTGGCTTACAAAAAGTGGTCCTGCGGAGCTCGGTAAGCCCTAAACCCTAAGCCCCTTAGGGTTTAGGGTTTAGGGTTCAGGGTTTGGAGTTTAGGGTTCAGGGTTTAGGGCACCCTAAACTCCTAAACTCCTAAACTCCTAAACTCCTAAACTCCTAAACTCCTAAACTCCTAAACTCCTAAACTCCTAAACTCCTAAACCTCTAAACCCTAAACCCCCTAAACCCTAAACCCTATCGATTTCTCTGAACCCTGAACCCTAAACCCTAACCCCTAAACCCTAAATCCTAAACCCTAAGCCCTAAACCCTACCAACTGCAGATCTAGGGGTTGAGGAGCTTGGGCTTATGGAAGAAGGCCTTCGGAAGCTTTCCTACGCCTGGCCACGGCCGAACGTAGCACAGGGACGTCTGGCATATGAAGCAGGGTTTAGGGTTTAGGGTTTAGGGTTTAGGATATTTCTGTTTTTGGTGAGTGTATATAAGGTTCCTTTTTAATATTGGTGAGTGTGTACATTGGGTGTCCTTTTGAGAGTACAAACCCTCCTTAATATGAGGTCTGGTTTGCTGGCAATCTTACCAGCTCTTCATTGAGAATTGACGAATTTGGATCCCTATCATATAGCCTCGCGATGGCTCAGGGTTATATGAAGTAGGGTTCATATTTCTTGTATCCCCAAAAGGACACCCAAGGTCTACACTCACCAATATGAAAAAGGAACCTTATATACACTCACCAACAACAGTAATATCAACCCTGCTTCATATACAAACATGGCCGGAAGCACTCGCAAAGTTATCCACGCCATGTGTTGGAGCTTGGGCTCTGGAGGATGCAGGGGCATGGCCGTGTTAGGGCATGGAGTTCATTTAGGGTTCAGGGTTTAGGGTCAACCCTAAACCCTAAGCCCTAAACCCTAAACCCAAAAAACCCTAAACCCTAAACTTTAGGGCTGCGGGCCCAAGATGGAGCTTCAGACTCAGGTTCTCTTGGACCCGGATTTAGAGAACGACCCATGTGCCGGTGGCGCGCAAGATTGCGCGAGCGTATGGTTTAGGGTTTAGGGTTCAGGGTTCAGGGTTTAGGGTTTAGGGTTTAGGGAAACCCTAAACCCTAAACCCTACACCCTAAACCCTAAACCCCACGCATCAGAGCATCTGGTGGAGGTTCTTCGCCGGCACACCGCTGGTCGCCCTGGCCAGCTCCATTAGCTCCTCGGCCCTTGGAATATCCCTAAACCCTAAACCCTAAACTCCAAACTCCTAGACCCTAGACCCTAACCCTGAACCCTGAACCCTAAACCCTAAACCCTAGAAACCCGAAACAAGCCCAAAACCCTAGACGCCCTAGAATCGCTGAATTCTTATTTGGGTTTATGAGGGCCTCATGGCGGAATGTGTGTTTCAGAGACCTTCTTAAGGACATTTTGTTTACTTTTACGTTTTAGGGTTTAGGGTTTAGGGCTAGAATCCCAGTAACGCCATAAACCAGGGTCCGAAGTACCCATATAGTAGAACGTAGGGTTTCCATAATACTGCGGGTGGACGGGCACCGCTGTTGAACTACGCAAATTGGCCAAACCCCGCACCCCCTTTTTTAACATTGGCTTTGGACAGGCCTCGGCACTGACATGTTCCAGTGACCAAAATCTTGCACCACCTAGAAAGCAACACCTGCCAATGTAAAAAGGGGGTGCGGGGTTCTGCGCTGTACTTGTGAGTGCCAGAGGTGTGGCTTGAAAGGTGGTGCAAGATTTCGTCCATCCACCGGAGGAATTGGCATCATGGTTTGGGTCAGTGTCCCCCATATAAGTAATTCAGAGTCTAACCTTAAACTCTAAACCCGAAACCCTAAACCCTGAACCCTAAACCCTAAACCTTAAGCCCCAAGCCCTAAGTCCTAAAGCCCTAAGCCCGAAGCCCTAAGCCCCAAAGCCCTAAGCCCTAAAAATCATGGCCCTAGATTG